TTTAGGATCATCGTATACTTGTTTGTCCTAAATAAATATGTTCCCTCTTGATTTAGAACGTTCAAGTTTATTTTTAAAGAGTATGGTGAGTGCAGATGACTTATTATTAAGTTCGACAGCACGTTTTCCTGTTCGACTGCTTTATGAGTACTAATCGCATCTGTCCGGGCAAGTATTTCTGTCATCGTTACTAATGAGAAGTCATTAAAGTTGTGTAATCGATTAAAACATCTTTGCAGACGTCTTCATGTACCTACCGGTACATACAGATTTTTAGAAAACTTAGGTCTCCAGTACTCTAAAGGTGCGATTTAGTGGGTGACACTTTCGATGTTGTGATAAAATATATTGGTTAATGTATCGGTAATGTTTGCAGTAAAGAAAGTTCCCCAGTCAGTGCTTCTTCGGTAATTATGGAAGTTATTCTAATCAACCTTGCGATAGTTTCTACTAAACGTTACATTTTTACGTCTACCGGTTGTGCTTTTTATATTAAGGCTACATACGACAATGTCATGATCACTACCTGGAAACGTTTTTCCAATATACACAGTACGGGGGTGAGGTCATTGATAAAGACTAAGTCCAAGATATTTTGATGTCTGGTAGGACTACTGACATATTGAGTCCACTGTCCTAGTTCTAGACATTCAATAAATGATTCGTAACGTTTCGGAGCCTTAACTGGAAACCAAGAAATTTCAGGTATGTTGAAGTCACCACAAATGAGCTTGCCTGTGAATGGGAGGGATGATGCTAGTATGATTACCTCTGATAATACTGCTATTTCCCCTATTGACGCGTCAGGTTGCCGATAGGCACGGCCGAACAGTAAGGTAATGGAATTTGATGGCTTTAAAACAATCCACACCGAATCCTTCAGCTTGTTCAGTTCAGGCATATCACACAATAGTGAGTTTAAGCTAGAGTGAGCGTAAATAAGGCATCCTTTCAATCTATCACTTCTGTATAGGAAATAGTTATCAAAAGATATACTTAGGTCGGAAATATCACTGTTAGTCCATGCTTCAGATATCATTATAAGCGACGGCTGATATGTGGATACAAACAGAGCTGAATCAGTCTTTTTGTTGCAGATCGACCTAGCATTGATAAGGCACATATTAAACAAATGGCCTACTAAGTTAAAATGGGTGAGAGTATTTCGATTAATGATGTCATGACGTTCACGGGTTAGATGTATGTTTGAAGTGCGGGATTGTTTTTCAATAGCTAGGTATTTTGATAGCTAGAGTTAGTCGGGGATGTATCAAATGAGCTACTGAAGTTGCTTGAGGAGTTTACTTAAGAGGGAAGGGTGGGAGTACTTTCTGATGAGAAATGTACGTGGGAAGCGAGTTTATGTTCCGCGCATGGTTTGAAATGACTTGGGCTATATGCTTCAACAGGGGTGCCATTAGGGGCCTTATTCCAAAAAATCGGGTACAGGTTGACTGTAAATTGTACTGTTATTTGCAAAATAGTTTTTTGGTTAAGCTCGTAGCCTCTGTTATAGCTATCTACGCTAGTGTGAGCATGAGGGGGGTCTGCTGCACGTAGGCCGTTTTCATGTGGTGGGTTGGTACTGAGTGGTGTGAAAAGCTCCCATTCTGAGAGTAATTTCAATTGTGATCATGGGGAATAAAGATAGGATGTGGGGTGAGGAACCTGTAATTAGCATGCTTATTAATGGTTATAGGCTTTAGAGGGTGAGCGGAGTGATCAGTATTCGGGTAGTTTTTATGAGTGTGCGTGTAAGAAGGTTTTTTATGCTCAAGCCTACTACCCGTTTGGCGACTTACAGGTGTTGATGGCAAGTTAAATGATAGCAGCGGGTATAACCTATTCACTGTTTCTGGATTACACACAACACAGTTGGTCTCAATCTTACGTGTTTCCCTATTCGGTATTGTGGATTTTGTCTCCCTACTCTTTTTTCTCAGGGCTGAAGGACTGTTGCCTCTGTGAGGTGAACTTAGGTATATTCGACTCATCTTGTAGAGTATCCTTTGGGGGACCAATTTTTAAATTAATATGTTTAGTTGGTTGTGTTTCGTTACACGGCTCAAATTTCGGCACTTTACTGAACGAACAGTCGGGATCAGAGATGCTGTAACGCTTTTTAGTGACAGTTGAAGACCGTATCTTATCCATAGGTTTCTGATCTGCAGACTCATCTAGATCTACAGATGGACCTGCCGTTTGTAGTATGACATCATGCTTCTTGTCCATGCGCTTTATATCATTCACTGTGTTGCATACTGTCTCTAGCTGGTTCTTTACTATAACTCTATCATACGATTCTATTGCTTCACGTCTTCTTATATGACGTTGACAGGGTGTTAGGTCATAAATGACTTTTATGCTTTTGTATGGAATTAATGAGCTAATATTTTTGCTTGAATCAATAAATTGTTCAGCGTCGCTACAACAGCTAAACTTAAACAATAGAGGGCAAGTCAATCTATTCGACTTTTTTCTAAGGCGGATGACTTGGCAGTTGACTTTCAGCATATCGCATGCTTTAAGGCAGATATCCCTTAACTTATCCAAGAAAATAGCAATGAGGTCTACCTGAACTGTAGATTTTCTTGATGTTACTACCCAATTCATAAGATTTTACGCGGAAATCACCTCATTATCTATGCTGACTCGTCCTGTCATGACAGTCAGTTACGTAATTTTTGGCACTTCAGATGGACACGTTTGAGCTAGGGATAGAATAGTATACTTATATTGAAAAAGAATAAATTGCACAGTAGACACACTTGCGTGGCAGAGCCATGTCATTTTGATTCATCATTCCCACATTCACCGTTTCTAACCTTCTTTAAGTGTTACATGCTGGATGTAAATCATGTGATAAGAAGTAGCACCACCGCACTGCTCTTCCACCAGAGTCAACGTGACGTTGGTTAGATACCAGATTGAATGAGATTGTTGCACGTCGAAGGTTACCAAAATAGTAATAATAATCCTCCTGGTATTGATAAACTTAAAGATAGATCAAAAAGAAGGCAGCAGCAACTGATCGGGAAGCAAATGTAATAATTTCAAAATGTTTGGTTTAACTCTTAACGCACCGAAAATAAGAATATATATGAATATTTTTTCAGCGTTAAGCAAAGGGGGTTTATAATGCTGAAGAATGACTTAGTACACGGATATTTTAACAAATCACATCAAGATGCTTAAAAATAACGGCCGGTTAAAAGCTTAGCTTATGTGCCGAACTAGGATTACTAGCTTAGAGATAGAAAAACAATCGATATTGTAGAAGTGTTTATGTCAGTATTGTCTTTGGTTTAAACCAGTAAGTCAGTTAACTTTTATGCCGGTATGCTATCCGTACGAGTCGATTCTCAATTTCATATGAATTAGTGAGCCAACTAAAGGAACAAAAGTATAATCGCGGAAGGAAGAGTTTCGACTATTGTTCCGATTAGTTCGTCAATTTTAATACGGTCTATTAAATTGCGGGGCATTTTCTCGGACTCATTATTGCTTAACCGTGACAGGATTTAATAAAACTACTCATACATATGAATTGTTATAAAAAGCCCCTTTAATGAGTGAAAATAGCAGTAATTATGTGAATTTTGAACAGTTAGTTAACAGTATTAGTGGTTAAATGTGAGTGGATCTGCGAGAGACATGCGCTAGATGTGTAATAAGCTAATTATTTATATTCATACACACCGGCTGATGGTGTATACAAGTCAGTTGAGAGAATCGTGTTTGGCGTAAGGTAGAAATCGACTCATTTTAAACAGTGGTCATAAAATGATAAAATTGACAGAGCTTACGTGTACAAATATAGGTGACATGGTGTTGTACTATGTTTTCGCTATTGTCAAGACATAATGTGATGAGGGAGAACAAAGGTCAGGACACCCGATGTATTTTAGTAAAAAATCACAGAATCTCTTCGTAAAGTATGAGGACCATACGTTGAATACTCTGTTTGCAAAATTCCACCATTTGTCCCTCACATTCTGTATGATTTCTTCAAGTCACAATTCCTTTTTATTTACGTTTCTGTTTTCCCTTCAACTTGATCTTCTTAGCCTTCTTCTGCCATGGTTCTCACTTCCGATTTGTGTTACATACTATCTATATCGGTCGACACAAGTAGCACATACTAGTTACACTGCTTTATGACGATATCCAGAAGTCACTACGAATAACTACCCATAGTGTTCGTTGGAGATTGGCTAGCGGGAATTCGGTATTATCGTTTTTGGCGATTCTGAAATACCAGAAGTTTGTGGCATAAACCTATCCGATCTGCCTTAGTATATCACAAATCGAGATTTAGAAATATTCACTAACCTAATGTTACTGTTAATAGTAGGCTCTAGATTTTTTCCATTTCAAACGCCTGCTTGACTTACAACTACGTGATAGTTTAGTAATTATATATGAAAAGGGAAAGCCTAAGAAACACTTGAACCTATAACTTTAAACTACATTGTCCCACCAAGTACTTTCATGCGGATTTGACAAATGTTTCTCATCTCCTGCGTTTGCAGGTTGGTGATTAGATGAAAATAGCAGCTGCAACATCTAGAGTTAACTTAGTTGATCAAGACCGTTAGGCCTACCATACGATGGTTTAGCTTCAGTGTGATGTTGGCAGTCACAAAGTTTGAGGCTGTTATATCTCACAAGTCTTTGAACCGTAAATGCAGTTAGAGTAATGTCTTCGGTAGCAAAACACTGATCTACATCAAACACCTGATTTTATCATGTGTCAACTTTATACCTATATAAGCAACACTGATTCATCTCTCACAGATTTTTTTGAACTGCTCATTTAAAAAAAATGCTGATACGGAAAGACTTGTGTATCATAATAAACTGCTGCTTGGAATGCCCGAAACTCCACGCGTGTTAAATGGAAACATATTACTGTAATTTTCTTTCTAAAATAAAAAGATTATGTGGAAAGCTCATTCTCATTTTGTTTTTGTCAGCTATTATCGACGGCTTGGCTGATCACACCTAGCGCTAGTTATGAAAATATTAGTGCTTTCCGTCATCTACTAGCTGCACCAAATAATATAATCTAGTGAAATATTCCAGGTAGTGAATTAACCACTTGAAATCGTTTGTACAGAACAGTGAGTGGGTAAAAGCTTGTGTTTAGTATCAGAAAGACGTAACCATTAAATAGTTGGTTCCTTGATCGTGCCATAATGAGCATATCATTGGAGCAAATCATAGCGGTGGGTCTTACAAACTACACAGTGTTTTTGATACTTCTTGTAGACTCACGTCAGCAAATAGGTTTGCTAACTTTAAGTTGACTAGGCTATTAAAACTATTTTGACAATCTAGCCAACTGCGAATTCACCTTAGTAGTTGATAGAGTGCTGTAAGAGAAGGGATGTTTTTGATCATCGCCGAAGTTCAGTTTGTTAACCAACAAATGGATGAGTTTGTTCCTAGACTGTTGTTGGGGTTTTTCTGTGTCACTATACTAAGTCATTTCAAATGATGGACAAATATGCTAGAATGGGTTTTTCGAATAGGTAATCAAATAGTCTGATAGCCTCTGGTTTTTTATAAACCGATTTTATAAACGTTTCTCTCTGCATATACCTATATACCCCCAAAATTACTAAGTATACTGTTTATAAGTTTGCTCGTGGGATTTTCGGACGACTTGTGTGTTAACTAAAGACATCAAGTCAATATGCACGAGAAGATAGTCTCATACTAGACGTTACTATCACAAAACGTTTCAATTTTCGTGATGTAGTTACTTGGTCGGAGCTGATACTAATCTTTAAAGCTAATTATCTGTCTAAACATTTTCCTGATGACTTAGTTGCGTTCTGGTCAGCTGTGATTGCATTTAATCATAGACAATACGCAAACCGACTATGGTATGGAGCAAATTGAATTTCGTATCCTCAACTATTATGTATGATAATTATATATTACCCTCATAAAATTGCTGATATCCTTTGTGGCGCATCTTTTGACTTTTCATTTATGTTCCGTCTCATGCTTTGATTAAAAGTTCAAGGTACTTCGTTAAGAATGTCAGCGAAGTATGGAAATACTGGAATTGATAAACGTAGTTTTTTTTCTGTCGTATTTTTCTTATTATTGAGTCTGTGTTTTGTACCATGCAGATCATACTTTCTGCAAGTGAAACTTATTTGGCTACCTTCAGGGATTTTGTGCAGAATTCATTATGGAAGAAGGGTAGGTAATCATTTGATTTTAATCTTTTCTGCAGTTGTTACAATTAGCTATTTAGAACAGCATATATAATCGAATAGTATTATTTTTGATTAGATCCTCTTCAGGTTTTACTCTGACATATATGTTGTTCTAAACCACAATATAGTAACTTTTTAATTTAGCTATGTGAATAATGGATTTGATTAGTGTTTATATTCTTTTCACCCAGTGTTTATGTCGTTAAAGTGCTTTCGTCTGTTTTACTACTGAATGTTCTAGGATCATAAATGCTTCCACTGACTATAGGTAATCGATACAAGGTGAAGATTGTGATTATTTATGAATTCATGTTGATCATACATTGGACATTGCTTGAAAGATGAGCTGCAAAAATATGATCACTACTATCTAACGCGTTCAGTTATAATGGTATCAAGAAAAAGAGCGGTTTCATTAGTGACTTTACTTTCGGTTATGTCGCAAGTTAAATGATAGTCATTTAGATTTTGATTGATAAGGTAAAGGTCAATGATCTAGCTATTATCTTATTAAGGTTTTCATATACGAAGGGTGAGTATGCATCAAATGTGATCGTCTACTTTCCTAAATGATGTATATGATTTCTTGTTTCAACGAATATCGTAGATTTATCCTTTTTCATGTTTAACGGCCACTCACTATTCATGTGATCACTTTCCAGTGCCCGATCGAGCCATAGTTTAGGGGTTAAAGAAATTTATGCTTAAGGATATAGTATTACTTGGAATCGGTGTTGCTCAAAGCTGAATATACGAACATGTACTTGGCAAATCGGCTACAAAGACAATTTGGGAAAATACTGTTACTTTGATACTGACAAATGTTATGAAAGAAGAGACCAAACATTTTTACTATATCAAGCACACAGTTTTGTTTGAATATAAATAGTCCTCAAATTCATAGTATGACCGAATCTTAACACTCAAATTAGTGGAACATAATGCTTTTCTGAGATCCTTTAGATTAGATTTCAAATATTCCAGCCCAAGTTGACTACACATACAAAAATACTCAAGCTTGTGTTGACGGTTTTTTCAACGGTCTGGTTTCAGTTTCATGATTTTACTTCTTACCTTCCTTGACTGTAACAAAAATAAAATGTTAACATTGATTCGTAGGATTATGTTCCAGTCTTTTGGAACCGTTAGGAAACAAGCCATTCACTAGTATTAGATTGAATATGTAGAGAACAATGGAAGTGAGCTGCTAGCTGTCTTATTGCTTCACTGATCCCCAGGCGTATAGAACTATTGTTTTTACGTTATTTCTATATTTTGTATGCAAATGTAGGGATAGTATACATTGAAAAGCTACTGAAAACATGCCCATTCACAGTAATCTTATAATTTGGGGCTTTAGGTAATGTGTTTTTCATAGCGCAAAACGTTTTTGATGTAATATGTCTCTTTTAGTTCGGAAATGAGTGCGAAATAGTGCTAAAACTTGAGCTTTGAATGCGTTTTTAATTAATACAGAATATTAATAATTGATTGTCCATAAAAAATCATTTTATTAATATTCATACAGTGGGAGATCTATATATTCACGTATCTTTAGATAGATAGTGGATCTTAAAGTCTGTTTTCACCATCAGAAGGGCGGTCGGTCTATGGTTAAAGCATCTGAATTTAAAAGTATTATAATTCTAACACTTGGTATACTTTGGAGAAAATTGTATATTTGACCAGGTAAGATAAAATCACGCATTGAAAGAGGATGAAAATATATTTAAAAAAATCTAAATATCTTAAGATAGTATGGCAAAAGTGTTAGCGTCTGTGTGAAATTTAAACTGCATTTTCCTGATTTCTCTAACCGTTCCCTGGTGCTGGTTAGTTGAAGATAAATCAGTTAGCGTGCTGTGACTTGATCTTGATTCAAGCATTCAATGGTTAAAGCTTTTTTTGCCAACATGAACATTTCGTCCCAGGTTTGAACCCCTATGAACCTACTTTGGTTTCTACAATTCGGTGTTATTATGACTATTCTTCACAAAAGTCTGGTTCAAAATTTAATACGTAAACTTGTTTTGGTTAAATAAGTTACATTATCAGTATGTGGTTGTGAAGATTGATACGCTTTTGATTGAAATCATGAACCGATCAATGTTAGACGGCCGTTTCGTCTTAGTATGAGGCTCCTTGGCGGTGCGCATCCACGGTCACACACGGGATTCGTGTCCAGGACCTTCGGTTTCGCACGGCAACGCTTAATCTTTCGACCACTGAGCTGGCATCAAACGTGTTAATGTCTAATTCCAACCAACCAACCAACGATATTGCGCGACCATCTTCCATTTTCTTTGGTGGGTAACTGTCTCACACCCGACATGGATTATCTCGACTGATCATGCCTTCTCACTAGAACACCGAGAATTCCCTCTCGAAGCTAGTCACTAGTGAGCACATGGTAGTCTATCATTGATCGGTTCATGATCTCAATCAAGTTACATTGTATTGGTCCTAATCGGCAAATTTCTAGTAAACTCACGTTGCAATTATTTTCGAACATAGTTTCTCTGTTTTTGGAAAGCAGTGTATTACTCCAGAAATCAGTCAGTGAACTTCGAAGTTCACGGGATACAACCTAACAGTATGTATTCTTTGATTTATTATATTGAAAACTACAGTTACAGGTGTAATTAGAATTCACCACTGGTACGGACCTGCAGAAAATGGTTCTAAGAGAAGTACTCATCTACGTTGATAGCCATTGAATAAGACCAGGTGACTTAGAAACTTGTAATAGCATTACAATTCATTTTGTCCTACTCAAACTCTCTTAACTAGTCGCATGAAACCCTGAATGCGGACTTTAAAAATATTAATTGACGTGTTACAATTATTTTGTATCCGAATTCACAGTATTTTAATCGGTAATTCTTATCCACTGTTACATTTCCAGTAGTTCGAATACGAGTTCTCGCGGTGATCGGCGTAAACGTCGTCAGAAATCTCGAACTTCAAAGCAGCCAATTAGCGAGTAAGTTGGAGTACCTCAATTTTTACTGTTCAGGATCCAAGCTATCAAGATTTAGAAAGTCTTGTAGCTGTTTTTTAAACGTATGTGAAAAGGAATCATGATATGGGTTTTAATGAGACCAAACTCTTGTATTCAATTTTAAGAAGTTTTATAATTATTCTATTTTCAACTAATGGAAAATAATGGAAAACTCGCCAGCCTTGGTGAATCGGTGGCTGACGAAATTCCAACATGAATACAAAAATCCTTTACCTGGAAATCATGTAAGATATTATCCCACGTTTTGTGGAATATGTGAGCCGTAGATTGACTTTAAGTCTAGTTACATTTTTGTAATGATTGATAGAGTATGAGAAGGAGGAATACGGAAATTACAAAAGAAATTTCTATTTTTCACATTGAAAATGTTATTTACTAATAGTTGACATGTGTTCCTGAAACGTATATAAGGTGTATGATTATATGATTGTGATTGACAGTTCATTGCAGAAGTGAATAAGTTTAACACATGTATGACTCATGTTTTCAAATCATTGACCATCCTCCACTAGTTAATTTTGGTTTGACTTCCATGTTATTGTTTGATATTCCATATATGATTCAATTCAGTAGGTGATGTATTTCAGGTAGAACTGTGATCATAGGGAGTTTATGAATGTGAATGATATTTTATGTCTCTGTATTCCGTAGGAGAAAAATATTTCCTGGTATATTATGATTGATTTGTCACTCTGTTTTTGCTCATTTTATTTACCGTCATCCATATGTACATGTTCCTCTTCTTTTTCATATTGTTCATCACTTCCGTAGATCTCAACAAACTCAACAGAGTGGAGACCATGAAGTGTCTTCAATTCCACCAAATGTAGAAGAGTAAGTCATTGAATATTCCATTATGAATGGGCAACTGTGTAAGTATATGTTTTTGATTGTGTAGCTGTAATTAGTTCGATTTGTTAATGAAGGTTATTTGGAACTGACGGGAAGATAATTTGATTGAAGGTTTGAGGGAGTATGTTGATTGACTATCTGTGTTGTGGAGAGATGCTTGCTGACTGATTATTTGTTTGTAGGAAATGAGAATGAAAGGGATCTATATATGTAATTGTCAAAATCTTATATGCAATCACTGCAAGGATTGCTGTGTGGTTTAATAGGTGTGTAAGGATGAGAGGGATCCGGATTGTTTGATATTTAGTTAACTGTTCAGGTGTATGACGGAAACTAATAAGAAAGGGTTGTGGCTATGGATACTTTTGATGAGAGTGCTAGATTAATTGTAGAATGATGGGGAGAATATTTTGACGAGGATTTCATCTGTTGTCCAGTTACGTTTCACGCTCCAACTACCCAGTTACAGATGTGATGAGGTATGTACTTTATCTGTTGAGTTATGCGGATGATATAGATTTATGCTTTGTTAGTCAGCAAATCTTTGTATTTTTGATTTGTTTGTATTGAATTGATTTTCATGATTCGATTTTCTGTTATTCAGGGCTCCTGTTACGTCCTCGTTGGGTGAGGAATCTTCTGTGATTGATGTTTTTCCTTCGACATCGAAACTAACAAGTTCACATTCCAAGGCTGCTAAACAGAAAAAAAAACATCTAAAAGTAGTAGAAACGTAAGTGTTGTGGTTCTCCGTAGATTGCTTTCTTGTTGTAATTTGCAGGTTTGTTTTCTATTCCTGATCGGTTTTTACTTTTTATTTCAGTGTTCATCTTTCTGAAGATTTATCCAAGTGAGTTGTTTTTAACAGTACTCATCATTTTTGTTTTCCTTGGAAAAAGTATGGTTTGCTTTTACTTGCTTGAAACATGTCATCTTGTTTTGCGTATTTTAAGAATGAATATCAGAAGATTTTCAATACCTAATCGACCGGATGGAGGGGGAAAGTTGGGCAAAGAAATTTATGTGACTGTTAATTGTTGGGATTTTTCGATAAAGCCCAAAACTGTTTACATGTATCGAGCAGAAGCTCTCGCTGTATATCGTGGTGATGAAGGAAACAGAACTGAAATACGAATGTCTGCTAAGGATAAACGTGCTCTAATTAAACAGGTGGCTGATAGGTTAGTATTTTTCAGATACACTTCATGGTATATTATTATTTCATTTATTTTGTAGTTTGCTGGTCATGTATATTGAATTATATTTATTAGAGCAAGAACAGTTTGACTGGGGATTTCACGCTTGAGTGACTAATACTCTTTTGAACCGTATTATTTATGAATGTTTTAGCTTAAACATATACTCATTTTCGAAGTAGAACTTTTTACCAACTAGTATTTGTAACTTTTCTTGTTGATTAATTTAAATGATGATATTTCTCAACTTCAGAAGCATCACATTGATTGGCGAATTTTCGTTGTATGACTATTCCTCGTTTGTAAAATTGGTATACCTGAATTAGACTCTAAAAAATCACACGAGAAACCCTAATAGTTATCAACCATTTTAGGTTAAGTTATTTCATTTTTTGATTGCAAACCGATATAACGAAAAATAACCCTGATATTTGTAAAACTCTAGGAAAACTGTTAATAATCGATTATTGTGAAAAACTCCAAATATTTGAGTGCACCAGTTGCTTGACGTGATAAAAGAACACTTGAATTTGTACCGACTGTTTGTAGTTGGTTTTTCTAACAAAATAAAGAATTAAAAAAATTCATCGATATAGATTTAAAAAAAAACTGTTTTTGCTTTACTAATGATACCCATACTAAATTTGAAGGTTTCTCGATGAACACCGTGTTTCATATCTAAACAGTAGGTTTATATGTAGAAATATTTTATGCTTGCGCTTAAAATATTTTATCTGTGTTTATTGCTATGACGTTGAACCGTTAAGCATGATATAAAATTATGTTCAACTACTTTCTATTGTCGTGTTTAAGTACTTTCTGTGCCATTTATATAGAATTTTCAGAAAGTGTAATTCACGTTCACTTTTCTATTCACACATTTTTATCATAATAATTAGGCATATTTCGTTTGGCTTCTTTCAAATCTCAAGCTTGTCTGTAGCTTTTTTGCAAAAGAGGATGGTGTCATCCATGTGTCGATGGCAAAATGTAAATCTTTTCAATGAGGAAATAGCAAGTAAATGAAAAACTAATATAGCTAGAAGAATATCATCCAGTATCGATTCATAGGTGGACATGTGACAAATATTTATTATTTGTCTATGGATTTCTTTAAATTTGTTTTTCACATTCATGGAAGATTTCTGAATACTTTGTTCCTGATGGTTCTTGGAATTTTGATGTCTGCGTTGCCTAGTTCTGAAATTGATTGTTTTATTTGACCTAATTTGTGAAATCTTGGTGGACAGTCTCAGTATCTGTCTTGGTAACGATTTGATTTTGTTGGTATTTCTACTTATGACGACGGTTTATAGTTACTCTTTCTACGTTTACATAGCTTACATGACTGTATAATTTACGATGGTGGCCATGACATATACTCGGCGGATCGTTTGCCAGGGATCGGGAAAGTTCCTACTGAGGCGGAAATGAAAATTGTTGATCCACTTGGTCGAGATAATCTTGTTCTGAAATATCACTTGATGGAAGCACAGACGGTATCAACTGACGATGTGCAACAATACGTAGAAAACCCGAAAGCAACATCGTTAAACATCCCCCAAGTAAGATTCGTGTTTTATTATCATCTTTCCTAGGAATCCATTAGGTTGTTAGATTGTATATTGAGAACTGTGTCGAAGCAGTCGTTAATATCTCTTGGAAGATCTGCTTTATTTTACGACAAACCAATGAAAGTCATTGCAAATAAACTATTCAGTATCCACAGAGGTTTTATCGCTAGTATTAGACCACAATGGAAGGTCCGTATGAATATAGACATGGTATTTCTTGAAATTTCTAATTTTCTTAATTTTCAAGACGTATAAGGCTTTTTTCACAGCTGGTAACCTAGCAGATGTTATGTACGAAAAGTATGGAGACAATATGGCCAGATGTAGCTCACAAATGGCTCAAGATTTAAGAAGAATACGTGTTGAAACTGACAAGTTTTACAAAAATGAAAATGGTATGTAGCATTTTATTTACTCTAATAAAACTATTCAAGGGAATTCATATTGTAGACGTTTCACTGTGCATGGAATATCGTCTGTGCCAGCTGAAAAGCTTATGATCGAGGAGAGAAAGCAATCTGTTGCTGCATATTTTGCTGAGCATCACCACATCAAGTTAAAATATCCTGATCTACCGTGCGTAAAGGTAATGTGCATTTAATGTTTCATTCCTTAGGTTGATCAAAAACGAGAAGTTTATATGCCAATGGAACTTCTCAACATTCTTCCTTTTCAAGCACCTAACGCAAGCAAGGCTGATGTGGCTAGTGAGGTTATTCGTTGTGCAGCAGTTCGTCCTCAAGAACGTTTCCGAGAACTTGTGGATTTCACTAATACGATTTCAAAGTAACTGTATTTCTGTATTTCGATTTTATTTGCTTGCTAAATGATAAGTGTATTAAAATTTTGAATATGTTCGATCTCGTTTTCGTTATGAGTTAAGGCGTTAGATGTGATATGTAATAGGGTACTAACAAACTGAAGTGTAGGGCCCATCAAAACTTAAATAAAGTCATCATTTAACACGACTTCGTAGCCTTTTTCCAATAATGCGGATTATAAATGGAAGTAATATGCAAAGAGATGAAAACTTTTGCGAGGTGATTTACCAAGTTTAGTCTGCTGATGATGAAACCCTTGATTTGTGTTTCGGTGCTTATCACCAACACTTACTTCCAATCTTGAAAAAACTAATCGGTCCTATGTGATTTAAATTCTGGCACGTCACCGCTGACTTTATGTTGGATTGAGATATTTACATTGACTGATCACTGAGCAGTGAATAGCATCATCTTTGTCTAACCGTTTAATACTTACTGAATTCTATCGGTCAGGTTTAAGCCTGGGCCTTAATGTAAATGATTCAGGATTGTGTGCACTGTTTTATGTCGGCTGTTCGAATACAGTAGTGTTAGCTATTTTTCAAATTTGTAAATTACATAAGTATGCAATTCCAAGTTGGATATGGGCATCCGAAGAATTCCAAAAGTAATAGGCTTTTGTAAACATCTTTCCGTAGACAAGTAACATGAGCTAATTATTCATGGAAATTTATTTGTTCTGTTGTTTGCTTCCGGTGTATTTTTTAAAGTAGTTGAACGAGATCGTTGAAAAACATAAGTGAGTAAACGAATAGAATTATGTTTATCAGTCAGAAGGTGCCATTAATCTAGACAATAGTTTTTCGCAGGCTAACCTAATTATGTTCATTTATTTTTATCTTAAGGGGACATCGACTATTTCAGTTGTTTCAAGCAAAGATAGCAAACCAACCCGTAGATGTAAAGTCTCGTGTACTCCAGCCACCTAAAGCAATTTTTAATCGTCCAGATAAAATCCAACTGAAGGCTGGAAGTTGGAATACTCCGGATTTTCATGAACCAGCTAAACGTGGTGTTGCAATTCCATGGGGAATACTTTGTGTTCCAAACAACCCGGTATGTTTGAGATTTTGGTTTTCTTCATTGTAGTGATATATTTTAAGTTTTATGGATGTTAATCGTATTGTTGTTCGGTAAAGTATTGAAATAATTGCCGACTGATGATTACAAGGTTAAGATTTCTAAATAAATGAATCTTCATCATAACAACAAACGGCCAACACAGATATAATAAACATTAAATGATAGTGTAAGATTCTAAATGATAGTATTGTATAGGATCTCAAGTAGCTGGTCGACATTAGATATCAACAGTCCAAAAGAATCAGTATTGGATCACTACACAATAGATAGACAGACATCTTGAACGTAGAGTCTGTTATGGATATGCTTTGGCCTATGTTGCCATACCTGATTGGGATGACGGATGAAATAATGTAGTAACAACAATACAAAAAGACTTAAGCTTGCGAATATGATTTAAAACAACAGTGAGAATTTATTTATGAAGGGATAGTCACTTGATGGCACTTGTTTGGAAACGATCAAGATAAATATGATATTGTACTATTTTTCAGTTCAACCACTTCACATCAAATAAATATATTACAATGTTAAGTAAGAATCTAATGGTTTAATTGTATTTTGATCGATCACCAACCAATCGAATTCGAGGAAACGACAAAATACTAGACAATGTGAGATTGTTTACCACTACTTTTCGACCAATTAGTGTGCGTAAATAGTGTTTTATAAACTCACATGGATTATTGTTTCTTTAATGAAGCAAAAAAATGTGAACAGCAAACTATCACTTCTCACTAACAGCGAAATAATGTTTGTTAGGGGGAGAATCTTTCATTTAACAACGTCAAAATGTGAAGGAAACTTTTGAAAAAGCGATGGCCTTACCTTGTCGTTTTGATAACAGGTACATGAAAATGACTAGAAAAATATTTTGACTTGAAGTATATATGATCCTTTACTTCATCAGTGTGTCATCCTTTTTATGCTATTTTTCAAATCCTTAGTGATATTTTGTTCTTGGTTTTTATTTTAGCGATCTAAAGGCGACGTGGAAAAAGTCACAAACGAATTACCAAAGGCCGCTAACCGTTTCGGTGTTTTCCTCAGCAGTAAACCATTTATATCACAATGCTACGTTAACCAACTTGAGAAAAAGTTTGAGGAATTTCATCGACAAGTAAGTGAACCTAATTTCAGGGAGTTGGTTTTGATTTCTATGGCAGTTACTAACAAATTCGAATTTTTCAGGGTTGTAACTTCATTCTGTTGATTCTGTACGATGATTTGGCCTACGGAACAATCAAACGTCTAAGTGATTTGAGAATGGGGATCCGCACACAGTGTGTTCGTGGTAGCACTCTATACAAACCTAATGTGTTTCGTAAGTATCTTTCATTTATTCATATTCGTTTATTTCAATTTTTTAAAACGAATGGACTAATTTAGTCTAGTTTGTTTTAGCCAACCTATTATTGAAACTCAATGGGAAACTTGGTGGTGTTAATTGGATTGTCCCAGATCTTACTGAGTACAACAAGGATTTAATAATGGTTTTCGGTGCTGATGTTACTCACCCAGCACCGACACAAACTCATCAGGTTCTCAAGTCAGTTGCTGCCGTTGTTGGATCTGTCAGTCCTGAGTTAATGCGATACGGGGCTATAGTTAGACAACAAGCGACTACTGAACGAGGAAACAAAACAACGAGAGAAATTATTGACAACTTGCATCTGTCAGTTGGAGAACTGCTCACGGTTAGTTTCTTTAAATTCAATGTTATGTACTCTCTGTTACTACTGTGAAGTATTATTTTCCTATCGCTCATTATTTCTTTTGTAACAACATTATAATTCGGGAACATTTATATTTATATTATAGCTGTATTTGCGGAATACGAAGGGACGTTTTCCTAAACGTATTATATTCTATCGCGACGGTGTCTCAGAGGGTCAGTTTGAAAATGTTTTGGTCGAGGAGTTATCTGCGATTCAAAAAGCTTGCAGTGACATTCGTCCTGGTGAAGAACCTGCTATTACATTTATCGTTGTCCAGAAGCGACACCATATCCGATTAAAACCACAAGATCCCAGGTAATTAGACGAAATTTCATTGCTAGTAGCTATGACAAAATGTCTAGATATCTGATACAATTTTTATTTTCAGACATACTAGATGTTTCTTCAAAACCATATCTCGTATTTTCATTTTGACAGGGCACGGAATGTGGAACCAGGAACCGTTGTTGATACAGATATTACTCATCGTAGGGAATTTGATTTCTATATTTGTTCTCATGAAGGAATTCAGGTAACTAGTTTCTCTTTGTTGGTGATTATTTCTTCCAGGGAACATCAAAACCGTCCCACTATCACGTATTATATGATGACAATAACTTTACATCGGACAGTCTTCAAATGTTTACGTACCACTTATGTTATGCTTATATGCGATGCTCTCGGAGTGTCTCTTACCCTGCTCCAGTGTATTATTCTCATTTAGCTGCGTTTCGTGCCCGAGATTGGCTATCAAACACAAATGAAGCAAATGTTTTACTTGATGATTATAATCGCTTCAAAGTTCACATTTCACAAACTGATGGGATGTTTTTCTTGTGAAGTTTTGTTAATTTATTATTTCAGAGAAGAAAACTTTCTATTTTGACATAGAGTATTACGTTTAACAAACAAATTAACTATAAATACAATTGTTCAGCTCATGTCAATAAAGTCGTCAAAAAGGAAATTTTCTCCACTAGATTTTCTTATTTCTTCATTTTATCATTTGTTCAAAATAAATTGCATTTATAATGGTTTATGTTGGTTTTAACTTGAGCGATTAAATATATTTTATAACTGGTTATCCCATTCAATTCGGCTTTCAATAATAGACTTTAAATTTGTTGTTAGTCCAACTACTTGATGCACTGAAGGTTAAGAGTTTCTGATTATATAACTACGGATGATTTGTTTTTCCATAGTGTGTACTTATTATATCGTAGGATATTGTCAGATAGTTGAAGGTATTGTCACAAAGTTTCTTGACAAAACAGCGATAGGGAACACATACACATTTACCGTTCACAAGTATTGAGGAGTAAGAAAGAGTTGATATAAAAATAGCAAATAATGCAATAAATAGGCGACCGATAAATTACTTTATTTTTAGCTGTTACACACTGATCGGTATATTTGTATTAGAGCGTAGCTTAGTTGCCCATGAAAACAATGTTTTAGTAAGACTTATGTCATACCAGATTTTGGCGAAAGTATTGAAGTGGAGATCATGATGAGCCTTGGAAGATTTATGGCAAATAGGACGTGAAAGTGAATTATCCTCATTTCTTGTGATCTAAAAAAGTTGTTCTATCTTGTAACTGATGTTTGGTTATACTGAAATTATAAATAAGAGAAATTAGTCTTCGTGGTCCCAGTTGTCACATATCATACAAGTATCATCATAAAATTTGAAATCTTAATATGAGGCTTTAAACTATAGTTTGTTTAATAAATATCAAAATTCCATCAAATACTTTTCTAGATTCATCCGAAAAGTTATTTGTTCAACAAATTTAGATAGTTCTTTTATTGTTTACAAACGTTTTACTCAGTTTTCCACTCGAGAAGTTGGATAGTGTTATGCAACAGAATAAGTTTAAACTATTCTCAGATAGTTTACATATATAAAAAAAATCACTTCATGTCATATTATTTGTTTCTATTTTATAAAATACTAATAAACCAGTATCGAGAATAGTATACTTATAGGTTGTTGTATTTTACTGCAGAACAAGTGAAAATGAGAACTGTTAACTTTATTTTGTTGATCGACAATAGGTTAATATTTATGTGTCTGCATAAATGAATAACTTTGTATGGTATAGCAGATTCACAACAAACAATTAATCATCAATTGACGAGTGGTAAACTTTCAGATGATCAGTTTTTATATTTTGTTTGAAAAGTGGTGATTTATGATGAAGAGCCTGTGTATGTTGGGTTTTGATATTAAATCAGAAAGCAGACTTACATTAGATCCCGTCTTTGACTTTAAATCAAACTGAAAGTTCCCTGTATTTGTCTCAGTCAAAAAATCCTTCACATTGGCATCGGTTACTATTGGATACTTAAATGCCTTTTAAAACAACTGAAAAGCACACTTTTGGAGTAGGTAATATGGGACTACTAGATTTTGTCTACAGTTAACTAGATACACAAACTTTGAAATTTTAGTGAACATAAAAATAAGAATACTTCATTGACTAAATATGTTTCAGAGGGGGTTTTGTGAAGAATTTAGTATTTTTCACAATTAAAATCATGAGTCATTTGAAGCTAGACCACCATCGAAAACCTGGGAGCACTGGACGGACGTTTCGTCCTATTATGGGATTCCTCATCAGTATGTTTGTACGTATAAGTAATCTACAAGAAGCCGGACAAATATGAAGTAATTCTGATAACGTCAATTTGCAAAATCTTTTGTTTGTCTTATAGATGTTAAAGTACATTTTCCAAATTTTATATGGGCCTATGTCTATATGGGCGTAGTGGGAAAAGGATAAAAAAACAACGCTAACTGATACAACAGAAATAGTTAAGCTGGAAAGTCAAATTTTAATTTCACTACCACTTGAGTAATCTGTAATAGGACCCATCTTTTCAAATCATTCAGATCTCGAACGACTGATTGTGTTTGTTTTCGCGTTCATTACTTTGTACATAATAAGCCTATCACTTCCCCAGAGTATATTAACTTATCATATTTTCCAGTTGCGTCTGTCTTTTGCTATCAGTTCATGTAACCAGGATGCTCTAGAGGATGTGAGAACTTTCACGTACTTGGGCAGCAATATCGATGAACAAGGAAGATCCGATGCAGACGTAAGGGCAAGAATTGAGAAAACAATGGCAGCATTCGTACAGTTGAAGAACATATGGAACTCACAACAACTGTCTCCAAGCCAATATCTAAGTCAGAATCTTCAATACGAACGTCAAAACAGTTCTCTCTCTTGGAGAGCTACCACAAACATCATCAAAAAGGTACAAGTATTTATAAACAGTTGTCTACGCAAGATACTCAAAAACCGTTGGCCGGATACTGTCAGCAACATCTTACTGTGAGAAAGAACAAACTAGCTTCCTGTAGAAGAAAAAATTAAGAAAAGATGGTGGTATTGGATAGCACATACATCACGGAAACCATCAGATTGTATCACGAATAAAGCTCTAACTCGAAATCCACAAGGTAAAGAGAAGAGCCAGACCAAAGAACACATGAAGGAGGGAATTGGAGGCAGACACCAAAAGAATGAATATTGCATGGGAGGAACTGTGAAGGAGAGCCCAGGTTAAAGTTAAAGTTGGTTGGAGAATGCCGGTTGGTGGCCTATGTTCCACGATTGGTAATAGGTGTAAGTAGGTAAGATGGGTTACATTAGTAACACAGTCATGTGACGTTCATTAATGGAGACAGACGATAAACGATGGGGATCGGAGAAGAAATAAAATCCCATTCAATTTAATTGAACATAACATGTAGCTTAATGTAAGATACGAGTAAGAGTGTAGATACATACATACACGCATGCTCAAGGTCATACATAAATGACAGATGACTGGAAAGATCACAATGACTCATCCGTCCAAAAGTTAGAATAAGTACATAGGTGTGCAATAAAATAAAAGCCTTTACAGTCTATCGATCAGTATTTCGCCCGTCATCGTCATGCTGACAACCCTAAATGTGTTCATCATAAAAAATCTTCAACTCCTCCTCTAGAACACAAGTAATTGTGTTTTGTTTATTTGTTTACTTATAAATTAGTTTATAATAAACAATTTTAAAGAAAGTAAACTGAATTACGACGAAAAAGAGTATCGAGAAGTAATGAGAATTAAGCGAAGCTTTCTGTTTAATAAATAGTTCATTGAAAGTTTTGATATGTCTCTTGGACTTTTCCGAAATTGTTTCCTCTCTATTTATAGCTTTAACGGAATAACGTGCATCTGTTTTTTGTGTAATACACAAGGAATTATAAGTTAGTTTACAAAATTCATCTGATACATTCTTCAAAATGGTTGACAGCCAGGAAATATTTCACGATACCGCTTAACCGCTTCACATTCTTATTGTCCGTTGAATGTATTTCACTGACTGAGAGGTCTGAAGAATGTACGTTGTACAATTCAAGTTGAATGCCTATTCATTAGGCATAGAAGTTGCCGGTTTTGGAGCCAAGTCGATCTCAGCCTTTACATACTTCATGATAATCATCAGTGTGTCAGGATTCATAAAAAGCTAAGGACAAGAAAATATGTCTGTAGTGTGTTGATTTGAGAAGTATGTTACACGTATATTTATCCAAAGACAGTGTATTCTCAGTCCTTAACCTGACTGTCAATTGCCAGGATGGAGACAACACAGTAATTGATTAGATCCTCAATAACTGTCGTCTGTATGCTTCTGTGTTGTAAGGATTTTTTCGGAGTTCGAAGTGGAGTGGGGGAAGTTGTCGTTTCGTTGTTTATACCTCTGGTCCAACCGGCTGACTTAACGATGCAGCATTTAATTGGTTCTTTCACCAATTAAATGACCTCAGCGAAAGCACATTGTATGGATGAACGACGGGAACTTGCCATTCTCAGGTTACACAGGTCACGGGTACAAAAATCATCGTTCAACCTTGCACTCAAATAGATCGTACCGTAATCAGTTGTCGGTGTCGAGGTTGTGGGAGATAATACTGCTCTTTTCCAGGTACTCGTCTGGATTCTGAATATCTTGTAGTAAGTGGCGAACCCATCATGCATTATGCAAATTAGAAACTAATCACCCTTAACAGGTTGATGTGAGCGAATCTACTTGAGCTACCGTTGCAACCAAATATCGCACAGCGTTGTGCTCAAGGTTATCTGTCTATCCTCTTAAAAACATAAATGGTCAGTAATTACATTTAAAAATGCGTGTTCCATTACATGCATCTCTTTGTATCGTTTTGCTTATAACTACGGTATATTTGGGCTCTTTATATTTCCTTGATAACCAACGGATTATGAGTACCATTATTGACGTAGGTAGCTTAAATGTAAGATGCTGAAAGCATTAGATACATCTAGCAAACAATCCAAGCTATTTTCACTAAGTAGTCTGGTTTCAGTGATACAAATTGTAGGATCAAGGACTTTTCCATTAGTATAATTTGGACAATAGATGAAGAAAGTGAATAGTTCAACTGATTGATTGTCCCAAAAACTTCAAACAGACTGCTCTGTTCTTTAACAGTGTACATAAACCCACTTAACAAAAGAGAAGACTGGAAAGGAAGTTTCATTCTGTCTGGACTACTGTTCAATGTTCCAGAACAGAAGCGATCTCAAACAACTTTATATAGGCTAGACATCTATTACATCCTTGATCTGTCCACCCAATAATATATAGGAGAGAACTTGTCTCTATCTAGGTTAATGTCTTGACACTATAGGCGAACTGGCTCAACCTTGAGGCTAGAAATTCGTGAGTCCAAACACAGACTAACAGTCTTAGGCAGAGAGATGTAAACTACTCTATCATCAGGTTGGTTGACAAACGAGAGAGCGAGAGTCAGTATGAATCAACTAGGACATCACTCGATCTATTCCTGACTCACGATTCAGATTAGTGTAAAGAGATACATGAATAAATAGATGACTGACACGAATACAACGCATGAACAATTAGAAAAGTACAATTATTCCAAATTGGGGATTAGGGTAGAAAAACAGAGTACAGAAGGCTACGTTTAAACTACAATAGCTTTGGGGTAGAAAAGGGTAATAGCTGTGAACCATGCATCAAACGATAGCTTACGGTTTATTGTTTGCTGTTAAATTACAGACAAAAGATTTTAGAATCTTCATTAAAAACCACGTAGCTATTTTAAAAAATATTATATTATTCCAACGAGATTTTGGAAAGATATGGAAAAACAAAAAAATGCTTGGTTACAAGCTATTCCATGAGTGTGGAAAAACCTATGGGATCAAATAGAGATATGTGTTATGTTGTAATAACAAATCAACTCAATACTACGTATCCGGGTCATCAAGTTCACTTACGAAACTCTTGTTTTATGTGTCTTTGGAGTTCACTACTCGTAGTTATGATATTTTCTAGAAGAATAAGTGTTAATATTACTGACTGGTTGATTAATAGCAAAAGTGTTTTACATGGATCACATAAATGTTTTATGAAACCGATGTTCACTAATATCTATTCAGTCGTGCTTAAACAATAAATAATTCTGCTTGTGACATATGTTGAAAATAGATCGTGAACTCAATTTTTAATCTGTGACTATATGTAAGCGTTTTTAGTAGCATATAAAACGTATGTAGTGCAATGATAATAATAATAATAACCATAACTGATAAATACTAGAGTTTGAAAGCTAAAACTGCCCTATTTCTTGGCTACTGTCAGTTATTAATTGAATTTTAGCAAAGCAGTCATTAATAATTAAATATCACAGAACAAGTGCTTCATCCTAAAATTGGGCCTTTTAGAAGCTCATACTCATCACACACTACACCTTAGGTATTGGACCAATGATGAATGTGTGGTTTTTAAACTAACGAGTTGGTATGGTATGGTTTGTAATTTATAAGGTAAGTTGATTCAAGATTTGTTAAAAATGGCAACAAATGTTGAGGCTATTCCAATATTCAAATCATGATCGTGGGTATACCATGATTCAAGACTGTAAATGCTCGTAGTTCTCATGGTACGATGGCACGCCCACATAGTTTGTTTTAGGTTTCATACAGACCAACTTATCCGTTCTTCTTGAATCACATCTTGACTTTGTCAATTATTTGCTTCTTAACCTTGATTGTTTTTATGTAAATGTATGTGTGTGCATTTCCTATCTCACTCATCACATGTCTGTAACTTATTTTTGTCTGACTATAAGTAACGATTCACACTTGGTTAGATCGAGTTGGCTAACTTAGCTTCTCCACTGCGCGTCACTTTGTTTTGCTTCTCTCTCTCCTCTTCGCTTTCTCCGCTTTGTTTCTCCGATCGTCTGTCTGGATCAACGATTGTATGAAATATACGTATTCAAAATCCATTCTCGTATTTGAGCTATTTTTATTTCGTTATTGACCAACGCGATTTAAGTCTATAATTATATACGAGGGTAGCTGGTATTTATATTTCAGCAGCAATCATTCATACGATCCAATTGCAGTCAGATGAAGGGCCACTAAATACCAAGTAAAAATGTGACAACGATAACTATTACCAAGAATTTCATTTTCGCTGTATCATTTATTGTTGAAGTTCATGTACAGTAATTATTTCTTGTAAAATAATACACATGACAGCATATTCTTTTACACCAATGTTTACCATAGTTAAGAAACTATAAACTGAACTGTTACTTGTTATTTTCTCATGTTAAGTATTCACGATAAATTAATCCTAAATTGTTGAGACAGCCAATCGCTTCATTGACGACAGAATAAAAAATATTAGATGGAAAATCGTCTTACTGTTGTACAACTTCAGTAATTGACATCATCAAAGTGTTTCTTCAGTGATTAAACTTTTTTTTTAAAGTGTATATATATATATATATATATATATATATATATATATACTAGCGGCGAGGTAATTCTAACATTGATCTACAAAGTTTACGATATTTCAATCACCACGATAGATCATACTTCTTTAAAACAAGATACCGTCATTCATTGTTGTTCCAAAAGTGAAAAATAGTCATGTAATGGTTGAACTGGGATGATGACATGGTGGCAAGTGATACGACGAAATAGCTGAAGACCATGACGCCTGAAGATTTTGGGAGTGCTTTTGAATAATAAATATAATACTGAAAGGAATAAAATAGTAAACCGTGAAAGCTTGCAAAATGAGCCTTTTCGGACTTCATTTTGGTAGACCATAAAAGTGTTTAAAATACAATTAGTGCCCAGAAATATCATTAATTTGAATGACTTTTGTTTTTCTAAATAACCGAAACAATCGATAAATGGGATTACATTAATACTTTGATAATGAGTAAATAAATTTCAAATAAAATATTTACAGTCATCATCTAGTTAGTTACACCATAACAATTCACCAATAGGATTAAGTATTTCAGTACTGCAACCATATCTTTGGAGGTTAAATGTTTTCCATGAGAATTAATGTCTATAGTTTGTTGGTGGAAAATAATTTGTAGTCATACACAAATACGTGATACATAGACTGTGCATAATTTGCATCAAAATAATTTCGACATTACATTACATTACGTAGTTTAAACTCTAAGATAGCATTATACAGATTGTCCAAGGATATTTATGCACATGATACTGGTTGGTAAATGCATTTTGTTTAGGAAATATTACATTATTTGTCATGTGGGTACAAACGACGCTGAAGTCAAATGATTTACTTCCTCACAAAAGCAAACAAAAATTTCCTATTGGGTTTAACGAATGACCTTGAAGTCAGTTTTCTATTGGTCTACCTCAAGTTTTTCCATCCATAAAAATAAATGTAATTTTCTTTTTGATTATTACTCAATACAAAATACTTAGTTCCTTTGTTTGAATGTAATATCGAGGCTGTTATTGTTTCACTACGAATCAGTAAATTATGCAAACTCTTGTGAAATGTAAACGATATGTTCATGAATTAACTTAGTCAAATTTGACATTTTTCTCATCTTTATATTCCATTTTATAATTTGTAATATGAAATGATCTTTATTGAAAAAGAAACTTATACTAACTACAGTAGTATAAATGATGGTTATGTAATGAACCCAATTTTTATTATTAATAATCAAAAATTATCGGATTATGTAACAGCTAATAATCTAGAAAGTACAAGTTGGACATTATGGTTAGGTATAACAGTTGTTTTACTTACAATGATAATCACATGGATATTACATATTTCCATTATGATATCTGTTTGTAGAAATATGTTTATGAAACATATCACATATTATTATATCATTTCAATCGGATTCGTTGTGATGTTACATTCATTGTTAAATTTTCCAGTGAACATCATAAGTGACTTAATTGGTAGGTTTCTTATAATTTCATTAGTTGACTTTTGAGTGATTTTAATTAAGGTATATATTTGAGAGAATAAATTGATTGCGGATTATATAATTGGCTTGAACAGTAAGTGTTATCCTTTTAGTGATAATTTTAGCTGGGACATTCAATTACTTTATTCTAAGAGTTTTTAATCTATTTGAATCGATGTAGTTATCTAGATCTCACTTCTCTTTATGAACAAGTCGGATATATTTTACAGAAGAAATACTTAATTGGTCTATAACATGCAATGATAGTTTATCCAGACATCACTATTGATTTAAATCTATTTTATCACTAGACTTTTCAATAATTACACGAACTGAAGTAATGAAAAATTCATCTTAAAAAAGTCAAAGATAAATAATTCTTAAACTCTTCAAAGTACTACTTGTTTGTGGCCGTGTATCTGTTCCATCTTCCTACTATTGGTTAAAATACAGCTAAAAGTTTTTAAAAGTCAAAATCTTCAGCCATCTTGTCACCTAACATTTTGTTAAAGTCGAATGAAGAAAACGTTTTCTGAGATTTATTTTGAGGATAGACATTCAATCAGTGAATCGGAGATCAGAAATATAAAAGATAACGCAAATTCTATGTTTTCGTTAGTACAAGACATTGACAGTTGTTCTAGTCTTGGAGCATCTTTATAGTCTTTATAGCGTCTTTATAGTCCTAAATAAAACTCATCTGTTTGAAAGAGCTGTTTTCATCACAGTCCTCAATAATTCATTAATTTTCCGAGATTTACCAAATTTCATCAAACGCTTTAGTTGTTTTGTTCGGTAAATTATTAGACAAATCATACACGTGATACATAATGCTCACTAAGATTGTACAAAATCACACTGTATTATCATTAGGTACCATAAGCAGCAAACTGTATACGCAGATCCTGAAATTAGTTTGCATTCGCTATGAATACTAAATGTACATCAATATGAAATGAATCATTTATTTGAATTTATTTATTTTCATAAATTTTATGAGTTCATTGAATATGAATTTATTATCCTGAAAGGTACATTACACATTTTTATTGGACATTGGGTTAGGCATATTGAAAATCACTGAATATATATTCAATAATCAGGGATAATTTTAAGGAAAGTATATGAATTCATGGTAAATCTTAAGATTATATATTTTTCGGTACAAATCATTACTGAATTATCATAAGAATCCTAGAATTAATAAAAAGCGTTTTAAAGGGGGTTGTTAGTGGAGATGTTTAGTAATTTTTATATATAGCTGAAATCATGAGTCAATTGAAGCTAGACCACCATGGAAAACCTGGAAGCACTGAACGACTGTTTCATCCTATTGTGGTCTGTCGGTTAAGTGCTCGCGCACGAAACTGGTAGGTCCTGGGTTCGGATCTCGCGAGGCGGGATCGTGGATGCGTACTGCTGAGGAGTCCCACCTTAGGACAAAACGGCTGTCCAGTGTTTTCAAGTTTTCCATGGTGGTCTAACTTCAATTGATTCGTGATTTCAACTATATATAAAAAACATCATAGTTTACATATTATTCATTTATTATTTAGTGCTGATAAATGTTTCTGTTTGTCGATTATGAAACGTGTGGACTTTAAGACGAAATTGTACTGAAAATCTATTTTGTTGATAAGATTTTTATTGTTAAGATTTTCAGACTGGATCAATATATGTAATAATGGGTTAAGTATACTAAAATGTTTTATGTAATTACTTACAAACAGTGATCATGACAGTCATCCAATCTGATTTTTAATGACTATCCATTTTATATTAGACCATGATAGAAACTAACATTAAACTGAACAGTGTTTTATTGACCTCCTAAAAATAAACTTTCCTATTTGTTGTTTGTGTTTTACAATAAACCAACAAGATCATTATTACTTTTTTTAGTGAAAAAATCTATCAGTTACCATGTGACACATGAATTTGATTCTAAATTTAATAGATTGAAAATTATACTTATTGAATTGTTCATACATTGATAAAATTGAACAGATTTACTGATTTGATTTTTATCATGATAATTGTACTTTAAGTAGTTTTAATAGTATTTTGTTGTTATTTGGATTGTAGGCGGTCACAGATAAATATTCATAAACAAACGAAAAATATAATACCAGATTTTGCAACAGTTTTATAATTATTATTCTTGTGAATAAATTTGTAACTAATAATCACATTTGATTATTCATTGTGGTAAAGTGTCGTGATTCCAAATGATGTGATAATAGCATTTATAATGAATCAGGAAATATTATTTTCAAGGTTTGATTTGATAATTTCGAAAAAATGAACCATCAGGGTTGTATATATATATATATATATATATATATATATATATATATATAGGATGATTTTTACTAACAAAGCCATACAAATCTATTCCAAAGATAATCATTACCTTTTAACTAAATGAAATAAAACCACGATAACTAACCTTATTTCGACTGGAATAAATATTCTGATTTGCTGTTTTGTATTATTTAAACTTGAGTTAGTTAGATTCTATTATTTACTGTTTAAAAAGCCGATATACACTAAGATGCAAAACGTTAGAGGTTCAATTAATGTTTTATTGATATAGTACAAACATAATAATAAGAATTTTGTTATAATATACAGTTTATGAACATGATGTAAATAACCGTCAGTGTATGTAGTATCGTTTGTTATGTTAAGCCCATATGCCTTATTCTAACTTCTGGACAAGTCAATTCACCTATCCATCATGAGTCATGTTTTCACCTTGTTAATCATTCACTTATTAACCCTGACCATTTTTATATGAGCGTAGGTGTGTGTACAATTCTTATCCTATTTAGCACACGTCAGTCATTTATTCTTGTCTGACCATAAATATCGATTAACACTTAATTAAGGTGAGTTGGCTTACCCACCATCTCCAATGTGTGTCGTTTTACTTCGCTCGCTGATATATACTCATGTGCTTATAACTTTCTGGCCTGCCGCTTCTCTTTACCTTCTGATTTTATGCACCGCTAAGACTGATATTATAACGGTTATCAAGCTGAACGATTAGCGAAGCACGGCACTACATGTACACTTGTATAGTGTCTTGGACAAGCTTAATAAAATCCATGTCATAGATACATGAATATATTGCGATTATATTCAAGAGAGAACAAATCTAGTAAAATGATAGAAGGTGAAGTACCATCAAATATTATCTTTATTTAAAAATAAATACAAATAAATTTTTTAAAATTTATTTAAACACATAAATATTGGTACAAGGGGGCACCAGATATATATGCGCCACACAAAAAAGAAAAAAATGTTAAACAGACACAAACAAATGATAAAAGTAGGGGGTTATTTTACTTATCACATAGATTATTCTATGAAATTTTATTCAAATTTATATTTCTTTTATGAGAAGAAAATACTGTGCTTATGAACAATTGAAATTTGTTAACTTACCTGTCAGTAAATTATAATTCGTTCAATAATTCACTATTATGTTGTTCATTGTACTCTAACAAATTATTTCTTATACAGTTTTATTACTGAATATCTTTCGAAACAAGTATTTTAGAATACTGTATTCAAACACAAAATTCACATTTTCCAAGTTACTCGAAGTCAATCACTGTTATTTCTGTGATCGTATCATCACACTGATTGACTAAATAACATGACTTTAATTAATAAATTATTTAAGTATGCAAGTAGTCATGATATCAGTTTGTTCATTATTCACCAAAGTTTATACTTGTGTGCATTGAGACACATTGATGAAACATTGGTGATATCTTATCTAATTACTTGAAGTAAGGTTTCAATCACTACCATATTGATTTCATGATTGAATATATCATTAATTAATTGGAATTTATTATACAAGTGTCCAGTGTACACAAACACATATTTAGGCAAGTGGATGTTTTCTATTCATTAAAGTTGCAAACTAAAATAATTTCTGAATAAAGTTATATAACATCTGATTCTTAAAATATATCTTTACAAAATGAATCTATAAAAGTCTATAGAAAACACTTCGAAGAAGTTTAAAACAATCACAACGTCACAAATACTATCGTCGTCACTTTCACTCACTACGCCAAACACTACCATATATGAGATAACCACATAGCAAATTAATTGCATACAGTCACATGGTGAGGAGTAAGTTATACACATTCATCTGTATCACCTCATTGTGTTGAATGCAACCAATCAAAATTGTATCTTCAATTGATTGGAATACATCATAATGATGAATTCTGTTTGTTCAAATAGTTTTGTGAACATCGTGAGACCATGGATTACCATTACGACCAACTAGTATAAATTGCGTTGATTCTTTTTATGCAAACACGTAGTTGATGGGGATTAAATTCTATGCTCTAGTGAATTAAAGATGGAAATGTCATGAAACAAGTTTATTCAGAAATCGTAGTTGTTTATTGTTAAGTCAGATGTATCAGGACTACATTGTTTGATGATTTCTCTGAAAGATGTAAGTGGGAGATAACACACCAAAGAATCAGTTTGGAATAATTTCACTTCATCTTCTTCTTCCATCAGTTTGTTCACTCTTGAGTTAGTTCAATGAAATATTGATATATATATCCATATTATGGTAAATCTAATTGACCAATAATGCTTTAATTGTATTATCAGGCGTGATCAAAACATTTTTCTCATTTTCCATCTCGTTTATATCATACACTCACACTTTTCTATACAAATTATTTCCGAATATCAACCCATATTAGAAGTTTTTTGAGATTAAACTTCGAATCAAGCAACTGAGATCTAACTCTTTTAAAAGTTATTTAATAGATAGTGAAATATTGGAATTAGTGAACCTATTTCTTCTACATAGAGAGTTGGTACTTCTTCATCTCGTAACGATAGACACTATTTTTATTGTAATGGATGATTGTTTAAATATGTCATTTTCTAAGCGACTGGTTAATAAGATTTATGTGAATTAGTATACACAGTCCGTCAGCCTATGACACTATTGGATTACTAGTTTTGAAGAAAACTAATTTCCATTTATTCAAAAGTGCTACGGTTGAAATTAGATTAAGAAGTATATATCTTATTGCCAAC